CGCACCCACTATTTAACATCGTTCAACACTATTCTACGGCGCTCAACCAAATTGGACGAGTGTTGAACCGAATGTTGAAAGCGTTTTCGCCTTCGTCATTCAACGGCTTTCAACATTTAAACGATGTTCTACAACATTCAACAAAAGCAAAGGAATATTGAAGCGAATGTTGAAAGCGATTCCGCATCCACCATTCAACATCGTTCAACGCTGTTCTACAGAATTCAACATAGTTGAACAAGTGTTGAAACCAATTTTGAAAGCGTTTGCGCTTGTCTACCGCTTCTTGCTCGTTTGTAGCGTTCGCAAACTCGTTTTCTTCAACTGCGAGAGCATTTCGCAAGATGTAAAAAGTTATCTTCCCTATAATATTGAAAACATWTTTTTTAATATTAAGCTTGTATTTCTTCTATTGTTGTAGACATGCCTCCAAGATGACCAAGACYTATACGAAGAGTTCCTTGGTACGCTAGTTGCATCGTCAAATCAGCGATGGACTCCAGTGCAGGTGGGTATATGTTATTTTTGTGATTACTCCCTTTGTAAGATGGAGAGGCACTGTATGTTGTAAGCAAGTACATAGACATTTTCGGCTAAAGTCGCATGAATACTCTAATTTCGAGTTCTGGTTTGCTCTGTGTTAGCCTCAAAACCAAGCAACATATTTTATTTCATTGATAGCCCGAGAAAATGCATGGAATTTGAAGTGAAAGACAACATAAAATTGTTATGAAATCTCACACTTTTACGCTCAAAACTAGGAATATTTCGCGCACAAATTAGGCTAACACAGAGCATTGGATAATTGGAAACTGTAGTGTTCCGTTTCTTTCGACGCTAATGGTCACCCTTATAACAAGTGAACATGACCTTTGATGGACATTTCGCATAATAGTCTCCTTCACGGTYCACAGCGCCATCTTGAAAGGTAGCCGTGCCTTTACATCGAAGCGAGACAACCGTTGAGTGTGCAATGATAGATACCTGTGAATAATTGTCTGTAGGTGTGAAAGAAGGTTTCTATTATTGCTCGCTCAACGGTTTTCTCGYTTCGATGCAAAGGCACGGCTGCCTTCCAAGATGGCGCTRGGAACAGTGAAAAAGACTATTGAAACCATTTTACGAAGATTCACACTAGAAAAATGCTTAATCCGACAATCCGTAAACTCCCATATACTACCTCTTTTATAGGAATATTAGTTTTAGAAGTTAGTATCATTGTGTGACTTTGTAATATGATTTTCGGTTTATTTTGAATACTTAAATACAGCTGTACAAGCGCATGGAGATAGTACTGTCAGATTATCCTGAGTTGATAGAAGATTTTGTGGCCTTCCTCGAACCAGAACAGGCYTTTGAAGCAGGAGTGGTAAATATAATATATGYAGYCTCCTCCGTAGATAGCCTCCTCCGCAGATATCTCTCCTACTACTCTTGGGTTTCCTGTCTTCCTCTTACGACCGACAAAKACTGCCACACAGGCTAATCGRGTACCAAAGGGATYYCAATAGAAYGGAATGTTGACAAGTGCTAMCTGTGGATGAGGCTTRATTATATGAATAAATAAAGCAATAAATAATCCAATCCAGTCACCATCACTAACTGGACATTTTTTCATCAATTCGGTCGAAAATTAATCGCAAGTGGAAAAAAAAGGAGATGTGGTTTTCTAGTTATGTATGTTTTATTTGACTGATACTCTCTCTTTCACAGCTTATGGAAAACCTAGAGTTCATAAAAGCAAGGAATTTTCTGCGAAGGCTGGAGGTAACATTTATCAGTGCCATTTTTTGTTCGGGTAGGGGAGGGGTAGTACCAATTTTTCGTTCTGTTAGGGGAGGGGCCGGAGGTGGATTTGTTAAGACAAAGGAATTCTTCATTAACATAAAAATAAATTGTCTTTTTTCTGCGCTAGGTTTTGCAAGTTTAGTATTGTTCATTTTAGTTTATCAAGTCCTTTGATCATTTCACCTGTCAAAATGACAAAAAAACAGTTATATTAAAAGAAAATGGCTTTCTTATAATATAAATCCTCAGACGTTCTGCAAGATTTTTTAATTTCTCTACTAAAATATATAGCTTATGTTTTTATCATGAATCAACTCGTCAATTGTGGCCGGTCCAGTCTCGCCGTGTCTACAAAGAAAATATAAAAACTGCTTTCAGGGATATTTTTTGGGTCTATGAAAAGTACGAGGACTAAATCTCCCATCATGCTTTGTACAAAATGGCGTCTCTGCACATCACATGTCATAATGTACATCTATCTCGTTAGGTGCACTTCAGTAAGAACAGATCTCACTTCCAGAAAATCATTGAAGTWTTTAGTACGTGGGGCTCAGGAGATAAGACTC